CTGGTCCGGGACTGGTCACGACTGATTTTCACTGCAGAGGGGGACAGAGTGGTTAGCAGAAGCCGGGTAATCTTGCTGGTTGATTGAGCGCAGGTCTGTACCTGTTCTGAGGTTTGAGCAGAGCGGCAGAGGGGAACACCTGAAGGGTCCAGAGACAGACGGCAGGCTGAGGGCTGACAGGTTTGATTTTCCAGGGTTCTTCCCCGATTAGACAGACTGGTTTCAGACAGGGAAACTGTTCCAGAGTTTCTGATCTTCAGGACTCTTGAGTAGTCAGACAGACTAGTTTCTGACAGAGAAACTCTTCCTGAGTTTTGGGCTTCAGACAGGTTCTTCCTAGAAGCAGAGAGGACAAAAACAGATAGGTTCAGGTTAACAGGGATTCTAGATTCAGACAGGCAGGTTGGCTCAGATCTGCTAACCATAACTGGCAAAACACTCTGGCGCTGAGGTGTTGTCCACAGCCCACTTAAGTACTGGTCCCCTGATGAGCAGATGAGAAGAAGCTGGTGAAGTTAGCTACAGCTTCAGGAGATCCAGTACGCCCTCTGGTGGAGGAAGGTAGACAGCACCCCAGATCCCCACAGAAGTGAAAACAATCAGGAAGGGATCCTCGACGCCCTCTGGTGGGCAAGCCTCTGGATCCCAACAATGATGATTTATTTCCATATGATTAACAAAGTATTTCCCTTGGCCTATTTGTGAGATTAATTTTTTTGAGGGTGCCTTTCCTCTGCCTAAATAGGGGTGATTGTGTAGAAGTCTTGTACCAGTCTGTATGCTGGAGTTAAGTTATGGAGTTAAGAGTGGGGATTACAGAAAGCAGTTGCCTCCTCACTCTAGACAAAGGTGAAGGGAGGGTCATGAGAGATAAGAATGAGTTCACACAGCCTCCTTCATGCCGTGAATGGGAGACCTGTTCTGAGTGTTTATCTGGCTAAAATGTATGTCCTTGGTGAACTGAAGTGTTTTTTTCTTGGGAATAGCCAAATGTTCAAGTGTGAGAAAGTTCTTTATGCAGGGGGTGGGTTTGTTCCCCTGGGGGGAATGTGTGTGTGTGTGATTTTGTAAGGTATAAATGTATGTATTGAAATGCCTCAGTCAGAGAGCTCTATCTCTCCATCCGAGGACGTTAAATAAGTTTGAGCCTTTTTTCTTTATTTCAGAGGCATTTCTGCCTCAGCTTCCTAACTTCACATAATTGTTATAAAATTATTTAAGATCTCAAAGCCAACCCCACCAGGACAATGAACAACTCCTCACTGGTCAAAAGGGCAGAGAAGCACATGTACTTCCTGTGGGGGATGAGGAGAGCCCACCTGCCCCCATCCATCCTCCCCACCTTCTACAGAAGCACCATAGAGAGCGTTCTGACCAGCTGTCTCACTGTGTGGTGTGGAGGCTGCAGCGCCTCAGACTGGAAGAAAGTGAGGAAAGTGGTGAGAACAGCAGAAAGGATCACTGGGGCTCCTCTTCCCTCCATTAAAGCCATTTCATCCCAGTGCTGTGTGTCCCGAGCCCGTTACATCATCCATGAGCCCTCACACCCCCAGCATGGACTGTTAGATGCAGGTCCAGCAGATTTAGCAACAGCTTTTTCCCTGCTGCCATAAAACTGTTGAAAAAACTCTAATCAAGTCACAAATCGTGGCTCTGCATCACACTAAAAACTAATAACACCGTATTTGCACAACATGGTGAATCTCCAAAACAAAATTCAACTCAGTGTCTCTGCATTTTGCATCATATATATATATTTCCTTTTTTGCACTGCTCTTTACCTCCAAATCAGTGCCTTTTGCACCATGTCTCTCCTACACTGTTTACATTTTGATCACTGCTGCTTTTTTAGAATAGACATGTTCCTTTCACTGCTAAGCTGCTGCTCATTCACTGTCCAAAATCTGCATGTAAAGAATTTTAGTTTTGTATACACTCTGTGTATACAAAATGACAATAAAGTTTGTCTAAGTTGAAGTCTTGATAAATTCACTTCAGTCAATTGTAGAGTAGGGAGGTCTCAATCCAAAATTGATATGGTAAATCTGTCCGAAAAAAGATAATTAGAATATATAAGGGCCTTCATCTAAAATATCACATATCAGCAGTACTCAAGTTGAGGGGGCATGAGGGCGGATTAAATGACCATGCCCCCATACAATCCCCTGTGACATTTTATCACTGAATATGTAAAATTTCTACTATAAATTATTAGTAACAGCAATAATTTTGCCCTTTCAACAGCTGTGGACTTACTAGTAGCCTGAGCAAAATAAATAAAACCAAAGAAGTGGCCTACCAGGACTATGAAGCTGATGCCAATGGAAGATTTGTCCTCTGGATTTGTCCCTAACTATGTAGGGGCAATGATAGCCATGCCAGTCCAGGGACTGACTGCAGTTATACTCTAAGGTGCCTTGGTCAAGGTCAATGACTAGCGTACCTGACATGTAACAACCGTACAATGCATATTACTTAGGTTACAAAACTTTATTAATTAGGCTATGTATTCTTCCATACATGCTTGTTACAACTAGACTACTCCATATCAACAAGCTGGTAGAAACACTTCACTTAAGTTCACTTTAAAGCTCATATAACCCATTAGTTAATAATACAAGACTGAGTATATATATATATATATATATATATATATATATATATATATATATATATATATA